CACAGCAAGAGCAGACATATGTATTTTTTGTAACAGGCATAAAGTGTACATGACAGTTTTGTAAAGGTTATTAGCATCATTGCAAAACTCCATATCTAAAAGCTTTCAGAATATGTGTTGGAAAGGGCTCCTGCAAAGTGTATCGCATGTGTCATCTTTACATTGGATAGTCTTTTCATTTCCATTGCTATTTGAACAAGCTCTTGCAAAAAAAAGTTTATTGCCAAGTTATGTTTTGTGTATCTTAAGTGATTAAAAACTGCAGATAGGCATGTTGTGGGGTGTAAGTAGCAATGAGTATTATTGATACAGAAGAGCTTTATAATTTGAATTTCTAGATTTATACATGAGTTTTAGAATGCTCCTTGTTTTAATTTTTATTAAAAATCTCAATTCTGAATTTTAAGTTAGTTTTCTATTGAAAATAGCATTTATATTTTCACCATTAAGTCTAAATTAGAACTTCTGCCTAACACGCACCAAAATCATCACTCTCACTCGAAATGTAAAAAAGTTAATTCCTAGCTGTAGAAAGCAATACCTATAGGCACATTTTAGTATGGTACGTGATCATTTTAAAATATAAATTATTAATGTGCAAATAAATATGTGTTATAAAATTGTAAACACTTCACACAACTCACAAAGTAAACCAAGTGAACTCTCTTAAAGGCACCTTATAAACCAGACTGCGTAATGCAGTTGTTAGGGAGATAAAAAACCAAAATTGTTCTTTTGGCTTTCTGCATGGACTGGACTGATCACTGGTCTATGAGCCAGGGCAGAGCATTCACACTCCGCTGTTCACCGGGAAAGAAAATAACTGAAAAGAAGAGATGCAGGCTGAGTGTCAGTGGGAAGAAGTTTTATGGTAACTTTTTTGCCCCTGTTTGAGCTAAGGCAAAACCCTTTCACTTAGCTGAACTAGGATTTCAGCACTGATGGGTAGGTCCTATAGGTTATTCATAGCAACTGCAGTGAGACTTGCATGACCTGCAAAGGTCAGTAAATCACTTCAGCTGGTCTCGCATTGGAAGCTAAAACCTGTTAGATTTGAAACTGTCAGATGTTGTCCTGTGTCCTGACTTTGGTACATACAACTGAAACGAGACAGTACTAATAAGGTAAGTTAAGTCTTGAATTTTAACATGGTGCTGGCACAGGCGCAAGGCAAGCAACCAGAAATATGTGAAAACTTCAAAGCAGAATTGAAACAATGTAAGTAGGCAACAAGAGCATTGATATTACTGAGCCCAAAGCAGTACTTAATTAGCTTGCTTTATTTTTTTCCTTGGGCTCTGTTTCAAAATAAATTGAGGCTTCAGTAAGAACTTGAAATGAATGATTGCTTTACTTCTCTGGAGTCTTGAGGAAAAGGGAGACTTAATTTAAAGACAGGAATTTAGCACAGATGAAATATGGCCTTTCTATGTGGAAAAAAGAACATAGTCGGATACAGTGCAACAGTGCATGTTAGATTTCAAGTCAACCTGTTGCACATGAGTTACGATGTGAACATTTCAACCGGACCCTGACTCAGGTTGAATCACAGCTGCGGTTTTCTGGGAGGAGGTTGATACTGCTGTGGTCTCCAGCTTCTGGCTGTGCTGACTGAGCTGTGCAGCAGAAGCTGGTGCGTCCCTGGTCCTGGGCAGGGGAGACTCACGCATGCACTTGTTTGGCCTCTGCCCGGCTCCGTGGGTTTGGCCGAGGTGGAAATCAGACCAAATTTGAGCCTATTCTCAATAATACTTGACTTCAGAAATAGCAAGAGTACTGTAATCCTACAGCTACATCTAACCATCCTCATGTATTTTATACAGTGATTACAGTTTTGAAGTATGTACATGTGTGCAGGCATTAACAGTTACATTTCTGATTTCTGTGTGGAGATATTAGTTGTTAGCTCTGTGCTATACATACAAATAAGAGTGGTCTTATTTGTGCTTTGTATACGCATACTATTTGCATTTCCTGTGCACTGCACAGTTGAATACTTGGTATTTCTGTCTCAAACATAAAACTGTAAGTAATGGTGTTTTGAATTCTGTGGATTGAAAACAATAAGCTGTTATCAAAAGCCCGTTTGGAGGAGTGCAATTTTCTGATTTTAGAAGCCAGGAAAACCCAGTTCTGGCCCCACTGCAGTGACAAAATGCACTTAGCTCCGTGTACTTTCTGTGGGAGTTAAACTGTATAATAACCTTATAATTATGATCTTTGAAGATGTTCTGCATTAAGCATTTAGAGTGGTGGAAGGAAACATTAATTCATAGAGGGGCGTATGTCTCTCCTTATACATTCCCATGGATGAAGAGCTTATTTGTGCCAGGAAGCTTTACAAATGATGGAATTATGTGAACTGAGGTTCTTTCCAAAAGCTGTGATACTGGCAGAACTGAGCCCAGCTGGATGCTGGTAACTTCTCTCTAGTTTTCTAGAAGTTTTCTTGTTAGCTTGTTACACATTATATACTCCACAAGTGCTTTGTATTATGAACAGTGAAAACACTGTAAATCTAGTGAATATTTTAAAAATTGACGTACTACATCAGTTGGTGGCCGGCTAAGTGAGGAGAAGTGGGAAATTAAATCTGTCGTTTTTGAATCATCTGTTAAATTCAGGGATGGAAAACCACTGCTCTGTGATGCTAACGGGTGGCCTGTGTACAATGGATCTCACTCCATTGCTCAGGATCTCGTTCCACAGACACTTGATGACAAAACAAAGAAATAAAAATCAGCTCCCTCTTGTTGCAGACGGTTTGAACAGAGAGGTGAGGGGCTGCAGGCAGGAGTATGAACGGAGCACTTGCTGCACAAGGCGGTCTCTCAGGTCGGAGGTTCACCCCGGTGCGCATCAGATGGTGTTCCTACTGGCCCCTGCCTGCTCTCTAGCTCACATGAGAAGATGATTTCTATCTCTAAGAAGTGTTTCAAAAGCACCAAATTGCTATGCTTAGATTAAAAAAAAAAAAAACAACCCATGGGAAACAACATAAGAAAAAAAAACCTAGAAGTGCTGTCTAAATATTAACATGCAGCTTGCAGTTCTGCAGGTGTCTTTTTCTTCTAAGGCCTGAGATGCAAATATTGTGGAACCTTCCTTTATTGCACTCAGGTCCATGTACATCCTGGCATTATGCCTTTTGCAGTCTGGCATAATATTGCGTAGAACAACAATGACAAGTCTATTTTCCTGTAAGGTGAATTCACAAATGGCATCAGTTCAGGGTGATTCCTTTGTAGATGTTAGCACCTCTGAACACTTTCCATATTGAGAACTCTTTTAATTTAAAATGTTAGTGAATGCTGTTTATTAAAAGTGTATTTTATGAAGACTCACAAGTCATATAATGTATTCTAGATTTTTGCAGATGTGACTTATTGTTACAGTGACATTAAAATTGAATAGTCTGTGAACTATGATTTAACATTATTTTCTTTTGTCATACTTTATCGATCAAAACGCCTTCAGAATCTGGTTTTGTCATTAATTTCATCCTAATAGTAGTCTTTGTACTTGATAATTTTCAATGTTTAATGCAGTTCATGTTGTGTCATTTCAAGGTATTTTTATCACTACTTAAAAAAAATAATAAGTCTTTTATTAGAGTTTTCTTTCTTGTGGTTTCTAACAATCTAAAATTGATGTACTGCAGTGCACTTCTGGGAAATATGCCAACTGTGGGGTTTAGTTTCAAGATGCCTGTTCATAGTTCATATGCACTCTCAAGTGTTTGTCGTAGGGGGCACAATCCTGTTTTCAGTATTCTTGGTAGCACAGTGTTGGCCTGATACACAGAGTGATGTTAAGACAGAGCCTGGTAGCTGTAAACATAAAATGCAAGGGCCCATATTTAAAAATAACCAAGTGCTCAAAATACAACCTAGTTTTTCAAATCAGTTCAACACTGTTTAGAACTATGCCATAGATTTCAAATGGGATATAAGTAGTTTTTAAGAGGTTGCTGTTATGTAGATGTTGTACTTGCTTAGATGACAAAATTTTATTCCTGTTTTTCAGAGTTACAACGTCACAGTCTTCTGTAATAATTTCTTAAGTCCATTTTGTCAGGGTTGCTTGTACCAGCACCACTGTACTGTCCCCTCCCATCCTATGTACTTTATAGGTGAGCTCGTTTTTCTGCCAGCAGCTAGTATGGCCTGTGGTCACAAGGGCTGCAGCTGAATAGGTTAAAATGCAGGGAGCTCTTGTAGACAGCACGTAGGCAAGGAGCATTGGAATACTGGCTCTGGCACAAAGTTCCTCTTTTAGGCACAGCTGGGACATTTAATCTCTTGCCTTCCGATCACCACCTGTAAAATGAAGTGATACCTGCCTACCTGTCTCACAGGAGCACAGATGATTGACTTGTGCTTGTGAAGTGATACAGGAATGCATTGAGTGCATGTCAGAGCCATCTTATCTCCAGATACGTGGCTAATTTTTCTTGGAAAAACCTAAAAATATTAGCAGTTGTGTTCACGTGTGTAGTGCAGCACCATCATCAGCTCCTGTAACTGAAATGAGGGATATCATATGTCAAGATGGTGGTGGAGCCTTCGAGCGTCCTCCTAGTGGCTTTGAGAAGCTTGAGCCATTCCAGAGGCAAATATTGCATTTCAGTAATATTTTTGTAATCGTCAGTGCAAAGCCTCACATGTTTTGGAGTGTTCTCTGTTCCTTAACCCTGGCTGCCTTTGGCCTTCCTTGGGCTCCTTTCAACTGGCCAAACCTGCAGCATGACAGTAACAACAGCTGCATGAATTTGTTGAAGTCATTGGTATTCACCAGCAACCTTAAAAACAGCAGAATCACCCCTTTTGTCAAATTACACAGATTTCATTGTAGGATTTTAACGAGATTTCAAGGATGCTGCCATCCTGTGTAAAATAAGATGAATTAGGCCCCTGTTGTGTTAGGTTCACTGAAACCATAGGACTGTGTGTTGTGCGTGTGTGCAGCATATTATGACACAAGTATTTTACTTTTTTTAGAAGATAAAGGGAAAGCAAAACCCAATAGTGCAAGTCATCAGTCCGGTACAGAAGTGGGTCCTTTTCTTCCCAAATCGGGAGTGGCAGCAGTGACATCTGTAACACCTGCCTCCTCCTCTAAGAGCACGAATGGAGGAGCTCCTAACACAGTTTCTGAGTCAGAAGAGGAAAGAGCCAAAAAACTGCTTTACTGTTCATTATGCAAAGTGGCTGTGAATTCGCTGTCACAACTAGAAGCCCACAATACGGGTGAGTACAGTGCAAGTCAGTTGTGTGTTATTATTTTTAAAATTCGGTGTAACAAGTTGGTTTTCTGACACTGTGATAGCCACACTTCTCTTTAGTGAGACTTTTAGACTCTTCTAGTTAAAACTTACAATGACAGGTTACAAAAACATTTATGTTAATGACAGTTTCATGTGTGGTGTTTGATGTTTTATTAAAGCTCTCTGTAATTTTTTTTAACTGTCCTTCATGTACTCTATAAGCTTTTAGGTGACAAAATCCCTACAGTTCATCTTACCTAAGCAGATTCCTCCATAAGATACCTCCATAGTGAGGATCATAGTATGATCACAGTGGTTTCCGTAACACTAAGATTTCTAAAATGTCAGTTCTCTCTCTTTCATATTTCATTCTCACTGTCTCTGATGTCTGTTTTATTTACTGGTACAATTTATAGTAATTTTTGTTATTTGATATTTTTGATAATTTTAGGGTACGCTCCTTAGATTTTCTAGATGTCCTAGAATCTTAGATTAGATACACTGCCTTTAAAAGGCTGCAAGCAGCAATCCCTAATGTGCTCTTGCTGCTCTGTGACACGCTGGTGATATAAAGCTTGTTAACAAACCATTGAAACTGGATTTACAGCTGTAATCCACTCTTGAAATGGCCAAAGCAGCCATTTCTTCCAAATCAGAGGATACTTGTTGAAGTATTCCTTTTCCTAGGCAGGTTTTGAGTGACTGCTGTGGTTCCTCTCCCACTCTTGGTTAATGGCCTTTTTTGTGATTCACTAGCTATATGGATTTTGGCAGAAGAATAAGCAACAAACACCTTGGCCGTACAGCCACACACTGCCCCCAAACAGAGGCAATGGTTCAGTGTGCCTGTTGTTCCCTTTTTTATAAACCCTTCTTCTGTTGTCTGGCTTCCCTTTAGATTGAGGAAGTGGGAACTACACTGACCAAAAAGAGTTGTCATTAATCCCAATCTGTGGGGACTTTAATCATTCTGTCTTGAAGATAAACATGTTATAAAAAGTCTCAAGAGTAATGGACATAGTTGTATGTTGTTCATTAACGCAACTGCATCTCCTTGCCCATTAGGCTCCAAGCACAAGACCATGGTTGAGGCTCGGAATGGTGCTGGTCCCATCAAATCTTACCCTAGACCTGGGTCCCGGCTGAAGGTGCAGAATGGCAGTAAAGGATCAGGACTGCAGAACAAGACATTTCATTGTGAAATCTGTGATGTCCATGTTAATTCAGAAATTCAACTTAAACAGGTAGCGTGCATGTATCTGCGGCTCCTTTGTTGGTTTTAGTTACGTTGCAATATTGTAGGTGTGGTGTACGTCTGTGTGAAGATGCTGTGGCAAAAATTGAACTTTGTATTTCTTTTCTGTCATCCCACAACTATTTCTAAATAGTTCACCATAGGTCAAGTTCACCTAATTGTTTCAGCTGGGAAAAAATGGGCTTGAGAGTCAAAAACAGAGGTGGATGAAGTATCAGTATCAATGAATAACATAGCAGATCTAGTTTAAAAGTTTGCTGTGGCTCAAGAGAGAGATTTGAACTTTGGTCTCCCAAGTGGAAGAAATTCTGGGTTGAGGTTCCCCGAATTCCTCTTTTGGTGCTTTTTCAATCTGCTGTGATACTTTGTAATAGTATGTGAGGAGGAGATTGTGACTTGAATCTATTGGTTTAGGACAATCAGCTTGAGGGTAGTACTGTAGATATCTCTTAACTGTGTAACGCAATGTTATCATTAACAGCGTAGCTGTATGAAGATGCAGCACTGCTCTGTCCAAGCCAATTAGCCCTGGGTTCAGAGCTCTGCTAATACAAATACATTTCTGACACCCAGATGGGAACCTCTAACTGGATGGTGCAGTGCTGTGTGGAAGTGTCCTCTCATTCAGTTATTTCAGTTATCTTTAAGATAGTATTAAATTGCATGGTGTAGACATCTCCCTGGGTACTGGTTCTTCCTTCAGCTAATACTGAATTATTTATACAACTGAATAGCATCAGCAAGGCTGAAATTTACCTCCTACGTCTGAATATCCCTATGACCCAGTGTTTACAGCTCTGCCTGGTTCAAAGCTCCTCAAGTGGAAAAAGGAAATACTAATCAAAATAACAATAATTTGCAGAGCCTGTCTTGGATCACAGAATTCACTGTATTTGATTAGTTCCTGATTCTCTATTTGATGTGCTCCAAATTGTTCTGTTTAATTTAGCAAAGCTCATCTTTGCTCTCTCTAAAGAACCTACTTTATCTTACAAACAGGGGCTTGGGCATATCCTGCTGATAAATCAATTTCAAACTCAAAACTGAGAAATGTTTAAACAGCTAATTAAATGTGAGGATATTTATTTCAGCACATTTCCAGCCGAAGGCACAAGGACAGAGTTGCAGGAAAGCCTATGAAACCTAAATATAGTCCTTACAACAAACTGCAGCGCAGCCCAAGTATTTTAGCGGTAAGTATTTTTATTTCTCATCACTGTCTACGTGAATTTGTGACCTTGGGGACTCCCAGTGCACAGAGACAGGAACATGACAGGCCTGACACTTGTGCAGCGTTTCTCCTGCTGCAGGCGGAATCTGCACAGGGACTGGATTTGTTGAAGATCGTTATGTATTCTGTCTGCCCAGTCAAAGGCACACAGACAGCACTGCGAGTGTTATTTACTGCTAGGAAGAAGGGAATAATCAGTGGAATGGGGAATAAACCGTGTGCCCCATAGAAAGGTATTGGCTCTGCTGGGCTAGTGCATTTCTCCTTAAAGGCTGCAATGTATGTACTCTGTCTGGGCACTGAGATAACTCAGTTGTGACAGATGCAGACAGGGAAAAGGACATAAGATGTTAAAATATGAAAATACTAATGCTCATTCTCTGCATACAGCAAAACAGAGTGCTGTGTGGATGTATTATGTTGGTGCAAAAGAGTTATCAGGTGTTTAAAAGAATTGATTGCCTATCTGCATGCTCAGGCTGTGTCTGTCGCAGGCTGTCAAAACACCTCTCCTGCCTTTGTGCCCCCAGCCCTTCCCCTTTGACATTCACCTGCATTTCCAGGAATTCCCCAAGCTGGTTCTGCCAGTCAGCTAGAGCTCAGGCTCTGAGACAGCACAGGTTCTATGTTTATTTGCTCATGACTCAGCCTATATTTTATTCATTAGGGAAAAGTGCATGCCACCTATGGCACAAAAACAATTTCTTGGTTGGAAAGAGAGAGATGCAAATGTGTGTGTGCAAGAGTAAGCATGTGAAGAGCCTTTAAAAGCTGAAATATTAATATATCTTTGTAATTCTGTAGAGACAAAAGAAAATGCTTCAGGCTTTCTCTAAGTCTCCCCATTTGCTAGGTTCTGCACACACTAATCTTCACTTGTGTAATACATCATTTTGTAACCTGTTGTGTAAGGAGAGACCTCCACTAGTAAAGGAAGGAGGTGAGTATCGTTGCCCCCACAAACGTGTGATTGTGGTGCAAACCATTTTCAGTGAGACTGTACTGTATATGTTTCTGGTTAGCTTTTTCACCACAAGCACCAGCAACCATTGTAGATCATAAACTGAATAATAATGCTTTCAGAAATAATTCTTTATGGTGATGATCTTAAAAAACGTTTCTGTTCTAAAAAGAGCAGCTCTGCATTGGCAGGTAAAAAGCTGACTGAACTAATACTAATTTCCCATCTTGAACCACTGTACTTTTTCTACAGTTCATTTGTTTAAGTGGAAATTTTGACTTTTGACATTGAAGTCTTAATCATTTTTTTAATATTTCTTGCATAGTTATGATTTATATAATTTAATGTTGTTCACTTGCAAATTATGCTTCTATCTAAACATCAGTGTGACTGCCCCTACACTCAAGAGATGTATGTATCTTTAAATATACCGTTTGGTTGCTTTAATTGCCTTGGGAGTAAGAAGACAATATGCATAAAATTTCCAAGCAGCTGATGGGAGGCTTCTGTGAGAAACCACGGCGTGCCCTTTTTCAGGGTTCGTTTTATCCCTTATGTAAAAGTGGGCGTGAGGAGAACTCTATTTACTTTGCCTTTTTGTGTGTTTTATTTCAGGCAAAACTTGCATTCCAGAAGGACATGATTAAGCCGCTGGCACCTGCTTTCCTTTCATCTCCTCTTGCTGCGGCTGCAGCTGTATCGTCAGCTCTGTCCCTTCCTCCCCGTTCCCCTGCCTCCTTGTTCCAGGCGCCTGCAATACCCCCAGCTCTCCTCAGGCCAGGCCATGGTCCCATCCGGGCAACACCTGCCTCCATACTTTTTGCACCATACTAATTTATTGATGTGAAAAAGAGGTAACTATGGCCAGTAGAAAG